TTTGCCTTGCACGCGGCCCACCCGGGTTCGATACCCAGCATCCCATATGGTCCCCCAAGCACCGCCAGGAGTAATTCCTGAGTGAAGAGCCAGACGTAACTCCTGAGCATTGTTGGGTGTGACCCGAAAAGCGAAAAATAAATAAAAATTAAAAATTAAATAAATAAATTAAATGAATTGAAAGGATAATATTTTGTATATGGCACAAGATACTTCACACACTCTAAGGGGTAATGTGCTCAGATAGTTAGGGTATGGGGAAACTGGGGAAATAGTTGAAAGGATGGTGAAATATTAGGAGTGACCATAACAAGGTGGCCTCTAAATGAGAGGTGATATGAACAAATGTTATTAGAAGTTGAAAATGCAGTCAGTTCCCCAAGTTGCTATAGTATGCTAAAATAGAATGTTTGAAACATTGTACAGAACAGTTGCTTACCATTAGTAACAGCTTGTAACCATCTCCTATATTATTCTTTATAGAGCTGAAATCAATTAAGGCGTGCATTTTAGACCACTGATGTTTGTCTTTTTTTCTGTCAAGGAGTCTTTTGAGAATATTTTGAGTACTAACACAACCCTCTCTCCATGAAGATGCATATTTGACATGCATTTGACATTCTTCAAACAGTTCTAGGAGTTCAGCAATTCCTGGTTAATAAATCCTATTTTGATCTTATCCAAGGCAACCCTGACTCATGCATAACATGCTTTCCTGGGCTTAATTTCATAGGAAGTGTCTAGTGTCACATTTACTTTGGGGAGCAATTTATGGACTTTCAGAGAGTTTTTTTTCTTTGTACTGAAGAATTTATACAGCACCCTCCTGAGACCGAGAAAGGTTGTGGTACTCTGTTTTTATATAGGTTTTAACACATGTACATTTTTTTCAGCTATGCACCTGACTGGCTGTCATTTTGGTGGGAGGCCATATTTGATTTTTCCAGGTAGCTCCTAACACAGACATTGAGGGACGCAGGAAGAAATAGTGATAGAAATGTGGTGTAAGGTGATGATGGACCTAGAAGAAAGAGACATGGTTCTGGAGGGAGCTGAAAATGAGAGACCGATTCTGAGAAACTCAGAGGGACACAGACAAAAATAGCAGCAGAAACAGACTGTTTAGAAACTCTGTAAATAGCCAAGATAAACTTCAGTGAAGGAGGTGAGATGACTGCAGTAAAGGTGTAGGGGAAAGAGCACAGGCATTGGCATTAGACTGACCAATGCGCTGGGCCTGTAGGTTCTTGGTTGATTGACTTACAATGGTGAGCCCAGATTTCTAACCATAAGATGGATATAGTAGTAGTTGACGCCTCACAGGGATCCACTGGAATTTAATGAAATATTCCACATACAGGAATACAGAGTATATTCCAAATACAGGAAATGCCTCAACTGCTCATTTAAGAGATTCTTCATTTAACCATTATTGAATACCTAGTGTATGTAACCATTGTGTTTTGAATAAAAATATAGTATAATTGTTGCCTTCTAGGGTTAGCTAGAAACACGATATAGAAGCAAACCATGGGCCAGACCAATGGTACTGTTTGCCTTGCATGCAACCAAACTGGGTTTGACCCCTGGGACCACGTATGGTTCCCAGAGTCTCCTTGAAGTAATTTCTGAGTGCAGAGTCAGGAGTGAGCCCTAAGCACAACCAGGTGTGGCCCAAAAACAAAAAACAAAGGAAGTGAAACAAAATGTTCTGGGAGTTACTAGTGTTAAGGTTAGGATAAAGATGTCAATGAAAGAACCGTTAGGTTTATAGATTTGCAGGGTGACAGTCACAAAGCAGAAAAAGCTTAAAGAGGAGCTAGTGTTTCTTTTTATGGGAAGAGGAGAATAACGGTAGGTTTTGGACATGTTGATTTTTAGCACTTGTGGGGAATCAGGAAGTGCTGCCAATGACAATATTCTTGCCTTGAGTGGAAATTGGAATCTGTTATCTATCCCTCAGTAACAACAAGTCTCACAATGGAGATGTTACTGGGCCCGCTCAAGCAAATCTATGATAGAGGCACATTTTATTTATTTATTTATTTTAAAATTTATTTTGTTTGCGGGGAACAAACCTGGAGATGCTCAGAACTTACTCCTGGTTCTGTACTCGGGATCACTCAAGGCAATGCTTGAGTGCATATGTGTTGCTGGGGATCAAACCTGGGTCGGCTGCAAGCAAGTCAAGTGTCCCACCTGCTATCCTCTAGCGCCCAAATGCACATTTTATTTATTTATTCATTCATTCTTTCATTCATGATTGAATTACCACAACATACAGTTACAAAGCTTTCACGATTGGGTTTCAGTCATACGATGTTCCAATGCCCATCCCTCTACCAGAGTACATTTCCCACCACCAGTATCCCCAGTATCCCTCCTAGCACACCTCTACTCCAGTCAGGGACTTTCTCTCTCTCTGTCTCTCTTTCTCTCTCCTTTTGGGGATTATGGTTTGTAATACAGACACTGAGAAACCATTGTGTTTGGTCCTTATCCACTTTCAGCACAAATCTCCCATCCAGAGCGATCCTTTCCAACCATTGTCATAATGACCCCTTCTCTAGTTGATTTCTAAATGGACATTTTAATTGTTTTACTTTTCAGATGAATGCTGATGGATGTCATAAGCTATAAAATACAACTTAACAATTACCAAGCACTTTTCAGTTCTAAAATAAGAATGCCATATGTCTCATTTTTTAGAAAAGTAGTCATGGGTCAGAGTGATAATACAGCTGGTAGGACATTTACCTTGTGTGCAGCTGACCCGGGTTCAATCCCTGGCATCTCATATGGTCAGATGGTCCCCCAAGCACCACCAGGAGTAACTCCTGAGTGCAGAGCCAAGAGGACCCTCTGAGCACTGCCGAATGTGACCCCCCAAATAAGTGGTCATACAAATATTTAAACTTACCAAATCATTTCAGAGTGACTATTTTACAAAAGTCTTCACTTTTACAGCCCATATTTCCTATAGATCGCTGTTAAAAAGCTAGCTGTTTCAGAGCACTTAAAAGGAACAACTTTCAGGACACATGCATCATGCTTATCCTCAAGGCATTGTTGTACTCACTACTTAGTATCATGTGAGAGGACTATGCAGATATCACTGCTATATGAACACAATTTAAGCAAACATTAATTGTAGAATAAAATATCAAACCCTGATGAGTGTCTCTGATAGAGACGAGAGACAAATGTTATATTCTAGCGAAAGATGACTTATTTCCTATAAGCAGGATTAATGGTTTTAATGAAATATATCTTTTATTTTTCTAGTTAAAATTTGCTTAGAATATTTCTAAGCGTTAGCTTTAATTAGTGGAATAACCACATTAGTAAGTAAATGTCCAACTCAGAAATGTCTGGGCAAAGAGAGGGTATGACTGGGGTTAGATTTCTGTCGGTAGGGGGCTTCTTTTATTCTGGTTTATACTCTAAAATAAAGATTACTACTGGCTGGAGCTATAGCACAGCGGGTAGGGCGTCTGCCTTGCACGCAGCCAACATGGCCGACCCGAGTTCGATTCCTCCGCCCCTCTCGGAGAGCCCGGCAAGCTACTGAGAGTATTCAATATGCCAGACACAGTAACAACAAAGTCTCCAATGGAGACGTTACTGGGCCCGCTCGAGCAAATCGACGATCAACGGGAGGGCCTTTACCTTTACCTAGTAAAATGAAGATTATTTGGAAATATCTGGCTCTTCATCTTGCCAATTTAATCTTGACTTGAACCTTCTTACATTTGGGGGGAGTGCTGGTTTGGGCCCATACCTCGCAGTGCTCAGAGGCTATTCCTGGCTCTGGGCTCCAGAGTTACCTCAGGCAGTACCTGGATACCTGTACAGAGCCTGAGATGCAACCTGGGTTGGCCCATGCAAGGCAAGCACCTTACTTCCTGGTTCACTGTCTTGTTAACTGTTAACATATGTTATGAGGTATGAAAGGACACATGGGAGGTGAACTCATAGCAGTCTGTTTTCTTCATTGGATGTTTAATAATAGTACCAAATGAAACTTAAAATGAACTTATGTGTTCAGGGCTGAGGCAATCACACAGCGGGTAGGGCGTTTTCCTTGCATGCTGCCGACGCAGGTTCGATTCCCAGCATCCCATATGGTCCCCTGAGCACTGCCAGGAGTAATTCCTGAGTGCAGAGCCAGGAGTAAACCCTGTGTATCTCCAGGTGTGACCCAAAAAGCAAAAAAAAAAGTAATATGTGTTCATTATTGATCAGAAACTATTTCTGAGGAAGTTGAAATCATTTCTTTTTCATTCAGTTTGGTGAAAAAAAGAATATGTTGAAGGTGAGGGAAGAAATTTAAAGTGAAAATTATCTTTTGTCTCAACTAACTCAGTTTACGAGAAATGGGATGGAGCAGAGCTTTCCATGTCTGGTAATAGAAAAATAATTCCCATTCACACTCTGAAGAATTCATTATCTGACACTGAGTACTATATTTGTCTAAAGCTCTCTCTCTTCACGCATGCTTTCAGAATGGAAACGTTCAGGAACTAGTTAGTTTGAAATATGGCCTTGTTTTCCTTCCACTTGATGTGAAATAGTAGCAAGCCCTTATATTTTACCTTGAAGTAAAATAAAGAACAGTATTGGAGAAAGGAGGCTGAGATTTTCCAGGGCCTTGGGCTCATCATAATCCAGGACAGGAGATGTCAGTGGAGAACATGTAAGAATGATCCATGCCAGTATTGTGAATTGGAATAGTAATGTTAATCAGAAACCAGTATCTAAAGGTAGCCATTAGACTCTATTTCTTTGAAAGAAAATAAATGCAGGCATTAGTCAAAACCAAGGTTTGAAGGGGAAAAAAGACTTTTTTTAAAACAATCAATTCCTAAATTGTTTTCTTATTGTTTGAGCATCCTGGGGAATCCAGCATGTGACATTTCTGTTGGTTAGTGTATAATGATGCCTTGTTCACTTTCTTTAGAAAATGGCTTTCTGATTCTCAATTTGTATTGCTTGCAGGTGAAAGCCCAGCCTCTGTGGTTCTTAATGCCTCAGCAGGATTATTTTCACTAAAGATGGAAACACTGGAGTCTGAATTGACCTGTCCAATCTGTCTAGAGTTGTTTGAAGACCCCCTTTTGCTCCCTTGTGCTCATAGCCTCTGCTTCAGCTGTGCCCATCGCATCTTGGTCTCCAGCTGCAGCTCTGGTGAATCCATTGAACCCATTACTGCTTTCCAGTGTCCTACGTGCAGGTATGTCATCTCACTGAACCATCGTGGTCTGGATGGCCTCAAGAGGAATGTGACCCTGCAGAACATTATTGACCGTTTCCAGAAGGCTTCAGTCAGTGGACCCAATTCTCCAAGTGAGAACCGCCGGGAGAGGACTTATAGGCCCAGCCCCGCCATGTCTAGTGAGCGAATCGCTTGCCAATTCTGTGAGCAGGACCCACCCAGGGATGCCGTGAAAACATGCATCACATGTGAGGTCTCCTACTGTGACCGTTGCCTCCGGGCCACACACCCCAACAAGAAACCTTTCACCAGCCATCGCCTGGTGGAACCTGTGCCAGACACACATCTTCGAGGGATCACCTGCCTGGACCACGAGAATGAAAAAGTGAACATGTATTGTGTATCTGATGACCAATTGATCTGTGCCTTATGCAAACTGGTGGGGCGTCACCGAGACCATCAGGTTGCGTCCCTGAATGATCGGTTTGAAAAACTCAAGGTAAGGGAGCTGGGAGCTAGCCCTGCTTCAACTTTGCCTTTTCTTTTCTCTATTTTTTTAAAAAAAACTTTCTTAACGAATCACTGTGAGATAGACCATTACCAAGCTGTTCATGATTGGATTTCAGTTATACAGTATTTCAACACCCATCCCTCTGTCAGTGTACATTTTCCAGCACCAGTGTCCCAAGGTTCCCTCCCATCACCCCCCGCCACCCACCTCCTGCCTGCCTCTATGGCAGGTGCTCTCTCTCTCTCTCTCTCTCTCTCTCTCTCTCTCTCTCTCTCTCTCTTGGGCATTGTGGTTTGCAATATTGATATTGAAAGGTTGTCAAGAAATCCCTTTACCTATAAATTTGCCTTTTTTACACAGTTAGACAGTTATAATTTCCCTAATAAACTGGGTCTTTTTTTTCTTTCATTTGACAAGTGACTTCACTCCAAGTTGTTCTCATAATGAATAATTTACTCCCCTGCAGATTCTCACTGGGACCGATTTCATCTGTTGTATAAACCTGTTTGATTTTGTTCACCTCTGGCCAGTTCTGGGGGAGTTGGCCCATATCGTGCCTCCCCAGTAGTCCACACAGGGAAGCAGCACCCTCTGCCCTCTTGTCAGTGACAGACTGCACATTGCATATCTTTGCCATGATCTTTCCACCTCTTTTAAGTATGTGAGTCCGCGTGTAGGTGTGCTAAAATTAGCATATGTGCTGATCTGCATATGTATGCATATAGCAATGGGAAGGCTGGGTGTGTCTCTGTGTAGGTGTGGGTGGAGGTGTCTGAGTCTATTTATGGAGGTGCAAGATTTTTGTGGAGGACAGTAATGTGTATGTATTTGCATTCTCAGTACACTGAAAAGCCCTAAAGTTGTTATCCATCCCTTAACATGGGGCCAAAGATAAGCATCCCTTTTCAAAACATAAGGTATTGTAAATCATGATGCCCAAAATTAAAATAAATAGGAACTGGAGAGATTGTACAGCAGGTAAGCACTTGCATTGCACATGGCTGACCCTGGTTTGATCCCTGGCAACCGATGTTGTCCCCCTAAAATTCCAGGAGTGATCTTGAGTGCAGGCCAAAGATTAAACCCTGAGTAAAGCTGGGTGTGGTCCTGAAACTAAATAAATAAATCACTGTATCACTATCACTGTCATCCCGTTCATTAATTTACTTGAGCGGACGTCAATAACGTCTCCATTCATCCCAGCCCTGAGATTTTAGCAGCCTCTCCTTACTCATCTTTCCCAATGCTGCTGTATTGGAGGCTCTTTCAGGGTAAGGGGTATGAGACACATCATTGTTACTGTTTTTGGCATATCAAATACAATACGGGTAGCTTGCCAGGCTCTGCCATGCAAATAAATTCCAAGGAAACAGATAGACAAAAAGGGGGCACTTCAGTGTATCTTCAAGCCAGGAGAGATGATCAAATACCATACTTAAAATGTAAATCGAAGGCACTACTTGCTTCCGATCCATTTTCCGATTTCGTGCCAGTGTTTCATTTTGTGGTCCTGGACTGAAGCGTGTGTTTGTAGTCTTTCAGAAATTCCTAGCTCTTTATTTGTGTTCTGTGGCCATAATTTGCCAAAGATGTTGTGCCATAGAATCGAAATGCCTATTTTTAAAAGCCCTATTGCCTGGTGGTCCTGTTAACAAATGTCACATCCAGCAAATTATTTTATTTCTACTGCCTGCCAGCTATGTGCATGTTTCTGCAATGCAGTTCTGTTAACTGTAGTTACCATGCTGTCAAGTTACCATGCTGTGCATTCCATCCCTAAGATTGATTGATTTTTTAAAAGGAAGTTTGTTTCTCTTGACCCCCTGCACTGATACTATGATAGGTTAAGTGGTTCAATCAAAATCACAGAATTGGGAACTTGGGGAATAGCTCAGGAGGTAGAGCACTTACCTAGCATGTGCATGGAGTCCAGTCCTTGCCACCACATGCTTGCCTAACTCTGTCAGGTCTAGCCTTGGTGACCTGTGGGCACTGTTGAGTGTGGCGTGGGATCTCCCTCACTAGACTGGCAGTCCCAATCAGTGCAAGGAGTAGCCCCAGGTCCTTGAGCACCACTAGGTGTGGACCCTATTAATAGGCCAAACAAAACAAAATTACTGAACTGATTAGTTGGAGAGATAGAACTGGAAGTCCGTCTCTAACACCTGATTAATTATACTTTCTACTGTAGCCTGCTGCAACTTTGTTTTGGATTGAGGTTTTTTTTTTCCGTGAAATATGATTTGAAACTTAACTTTATGCTCCAGCAACTGCACATTTTATGGGTCACAGATAAACGATTACAAGCATTAAGGAAAAGACATATTGTATAAACTTACAGCTTCATAATTGCAAGAGATGGAGGCGGGGTTGCAGGAAGAGTGGGGGTATGCAGAGGATGGAACAGTCTCTGCCAAATATTTGCAGGTGTTGGAAGTATAATAAGGCATTGGCCTTGAGAAATATTCCAAACAGAAAACTCTGTGTCCATATGTACCGTTGAGATAACAAACGGCTGAATAGAATAAGCCTGTATCTATAGAACACCAGCTTTTTAAAAACATCCGAAAACATAAAAAGCATTGGATGATTGATTAGATATTTGGCATGATACAGCTATAACCCTCACCCCCAGGGATGGACAGAGAACATAAGTATTTTACCAAAAGATACTTTAGTCTGTAACTAATCAGTAATTTTCAGAAAGAAAGCCCAGATTTTGAGTTGGCCCCTTTAATTTTTTTAGGAAATGTGCAGAAAATTCTGATTATAAATTAAGTGGAAACTTTTTTTTGCTCATTTTTGGACGGAGAGTAGAAACATATGAATCATTCCCATCGTGTGGTTTGTTATGTTGTCTGGAACATCTTTGACTTTTGGAAAGGAGAGAGAGGTACTGCTTGTGTGTGTGTATGTGTGTGTGTCTGCGGTCATTTTAGTTTGATGCCAAGTTTAAAAGGATATTAATACTCCATATTAAGCAGAGAGGTGGTCTGATTTTAGTGTCCCATATGCTCCCTTCTTTGGGTTAATTTTAATTTATAAAAGCATTTATGATTATTCCACTTAATCTGCTTGATATTTCCCAAAGGAACAAAGAGAACTGTAGATGTGAGATGTTGAGGGAAGGCGGCCTTGAGCATACTACCTTTGCCCTGATACAGGAGAGAGGGCACATGAGTTTTGCAGAAGAAAGGAAAGATTGGATATGTTCCTAGGGGCTTGGCCTTCTAAGTTGTTGGCCAGTAACTGCAATATGATGTTATTTTTTTAATTCTGGAGCTTCACTGTTGGCAATGCCAACTATCCTTTCGATAACCTTTCTGATTAGGTTTAGTTTAATATATATATATATATATATATATATATATATATATACCATTATATTATGGATGAATTGTTAGAGGAATCAGAAGCTGATCTAGAAATTAGTTCTTCATTTTAACATGAATTCAAAATGAATTAGAGATAATTTGTGAAAATGTTGTGCTTTTTTTTGAAGTTTTGGGACCACAACGGCAATTCACAGGGGCTACTCCTAGCTTTTTGCTAGGGGGTAACATGGTGATCAAACGACCATGAACTGCTGAGAATTGAACCCAGGCTTCTAGTAGGCAAAGCATGTGGTCAAAACTTTGAGCACTGTCTCTGGCTGGGCTTGTGATTCTTCATGTATTTTATTATCTTTATTTACTTGTCTGGTCTACCTGCATGCCATTTAGAAGGCCACTAGCAGGTTATTTTTTAAATTAGAAGTATAATTGTGTTCAAGACAATTATTGTAATAAGGCATGTCAAAGTAATTCTTCTCTCTACTTCCTCTTTTTTCACATACTAGTCCCAATATTTATTTTTGTTCATGCTGCTTGCTGCATTTCTATAAATGTGCTTTTACATACTTTAGAATTTTCATTGTGACAAGTTCCCCCTCAAATAAGATTACTATTATTTTAGTTAATAAATGCTATTTTTGTAGAAAGATGTCATATTTCAGTGCCTCTCTATTGATGCCAGATCTCAACTTGATTCTCTAAGGTCTTCACTATGGTTGCCACACTGCCCTTCTATCTTTTCTCCCTACCATGTTCAAGAAGGCTACCTTTGTCTGCTCAGACTAGCTTTTTGTCTGCTAAAACTACTGTTCTCTTTTCTGACTCATCCTTTTCAGTGGTGCTCTGCTCTTGCCTGCTCAGGAATTCTATCTGTACTTTAACGTATACTTGAATCCACACAAGGCCACTCTGTCACACCCCAGCTATGCTGTAAATTCTTTTGAGACCAGGTATAATACCTTTCCTTTTTCAGTAGCCTCCTTAGTTATTGTACACATAGTTTGTTCTCCAAAAGTTCAAATAAGCCCAGTCTTTTGAATGGATTTGCAGGAAGGGAAGTATACCAGTGTCTAAAGGTGGCTTTGGTTGTCATTTCATGAGATATAAATCTATCTGGCCATAGTGAATACTTTCTAAGTCTGAAAAAAATTCCTGTGAACTACTGGTACTATTTTAAAAAAAACCTGAGTGTTAGCAAAAGCATGGCATGTCCTTCATTTTAAGTGCCTATTCAATTTGATTGCTGGATTTTCCAACCCTATGGTGACATCTATATAAATCAGATGTGATTATTATAATTCTCTTTGAGAGTGATGTCTTCACATTTCCATGCCCATGGTCTGCCAAAAATATAGCTGATGAAAACCAGGGGAACAGAGGAATTTCCTGAAAGGAATAAACAAGCACATTTTCATTTTCTCATTACATTTCCACAAATTCATTACTACAAATACAAATGTAACTGCAGTTACATTTACATCTCAGATTATTATAAAATATTACCTGGCACTAAAGTAAAGTTTTTCTTATGGGAAAGTAAAACACATAGACATACATGAAGAGAGACTGAGGCATTGCTAAAGATAAGGGAGATAGGAGACTTAGATAATGTTCAAAGGAAAGCCACCATAAGAGTTAACAGGTTGGAAAATATGA